TTCGAACACCAGCTCCACGGAATTTCTCGACAGACCACCTTAGATCTTGCGTTTCGTTTGACTTGCATGATTACCATCGCGCAATCTTCGAATGTAAGAACTTACCAATTAAGAAATTCAATGATTCTTATGCGTTTCTATCTTGAGAGTCTACAAAGACACAAAGGTCTCTGTTGTTCTTCGTTCAGTAAAACAGCGTCCCCCCTAATTAAATTATCCAAGTTGTAGACAGTTTCCTCCACCTCAGGGCACGTCGGTGGATTTCACTTCTGTGTATACACCGTCGAGAAAAAAACTTACCCCGAGAGTCACGTAAAAAAATGTCAACTTCCCCTCACCTTCTATTCTCTCCCGTCGCTGGACAACCATCCCCCGTGTAATTACGTTATCCGGCGTCGTCGACCGCATTCTTTATTTCAAACCGAAAATTGAAAACGCAAGTTACGGTCGTGACCGCTGCAGGCGAAACCGGAGACTGTATCCGGCGCGTTGTAACAAAGCGCGCGCGGATCGCGAGCAGGTCGTGTCGCAACTTTGTTGCGTTGCATGGTGTGGACTTCGAGCTAATTAAAAGCACGCTCCAATTAGCTCGGAGATAACAGGCGTGTGCTCACGATGCAACAGCTACGGGCAACTTTCGCCCAAGCCACGAGATTTCTGATAGGGCCAGAGCCCCCATCGTTGTCCTCTCGTGTCCACGCACGGCGTTTTCCAATCTCGCCGCGCTCGACTATAAACGATCCGATTAACTAAATTGCGGGTAATCCGCCGGCTGAATTTTTCGGCGGATGGTTTCCCCGTTGGCCCACGATTACGAATCCCTGTCGATGAAAATGAACAATTTTGTATCGTGGAAATTGTTGGAAAATCGGGGACGCGATCGACTCGTTGCTGTTACCGTTCACCGACAGACCGATAACAGTGGACTGTCGTTTCGATTCGAGACTTTAATTTCGAGACTAGAATTTTCATTTCACGAACTTCAAACCTTTACGGAGGTACGAAAGTAAAAGGGAGTTTGAAACGAAATTTTCACGGTTTCAAATTGTATTTTCGTAGGATTGTTTATTGGAACTGTGTGTCCCAATGTTTCGCGAAAGAGGGATTCGAAGTAATGGGGCTTCCGTGTAAGAAAAATGTGTTTCAATTTTCACGGGCTAAGATCTTTTCTCGACGGACTAATTTCCCCTCATTTTCCTTCTTGGCGTGTTCCAGTCTTAACTGACTTTAGATGGAAAGTGCCTACTCTCTCACAAATAGCCCTTTCGAGCATGGCAGACACGTGTATGCTCTCTCTTCTTAAGTTCCTCTAAACGTAATGGTCCCTCTAAGACCGTGATGTAACGTAAAACCGAGCGGGGCGAACACTTCCGCACGAAACTGCCATATAATTCCTCCCCTGGTATTCATATCGTCAACCAGACAGAAGGAAATCACTCACGATTCTGTCGTTCGTTTTTTCGCCCCCTCGGTTGATCGATTAACTTTCAGGGATAAAAATCGTTCTTAACACTGGAACTACTATAACAGTCAAAACGACTGGTTTGTAAACCTTTAAAAAAATTATTGAAATATCATAACAGTGTGTCTTCTGAAATTCTTCGTAACTTTTAGTACAATATACAGTTATTGACTATTAATGCCCTTAATTAATTATTACTTCTCTAACTGTTGAACATGCCAAAAAATCGTTCATATAAAAGTTGTTTGATTTCACAAAATAAACTTAACAGAATATTTGAATTTTTTTTACTAAAAAACTTACGTTGTTATTAAAATCTTTGTTAATGCCATTTAGAAAAAAATTCAAATATTCTGTTCAGCTTACTCCATGAAATCAAACAACTTTCATACCTTCTTTTTGCATTTTCAATAGTCACAGAAATAATAGCGTGTACACACTTAAACCGGACATACTGTATAACTGAAGAAGTTCGTTAATTTATCGGTTCACATATATTCAACAAGCTGTCCCTTCCACCAACATTGTAGAAATAGAAACAGGTTCATCTTCGGTAATTCTACTGTTAAGAACCTTCTTCGTCATTCAATCGAGCCACGACTGTGGCCAGTCATTTTCTCTCGGTTAGTCGAGGCTCGTCAAGCCAAAGGGGGACGGGTGAAATCGTGGAAATACCCCGTCGCGTTATTTCCAGTCGTGGAGATCCGTGCAATATAACGCGTTCACGGTCGGAGCACACGGAAATGCTGTTAGCGTTGATTATTTTCGACGATAACAACTTTTCGACGGGCGTGCTTTTGTGCGATTACCATTGAAGTCCCCTGGCAGATTCGCCGGAGCAGGCGGTCAGACGACGTCGAAATAATTCAGGGGGGATCGACGTGTGCGAACCGTTCCGCGTCATTCGGCTCGGTTCCGACCGGAACAAAGGCCAGCGGATCGAGGGGACTCACTCATTTGTCCCATCGGGCCGTTTTATTAACGACCGAGCCGGGCTAATAAAGATCGTGTTCGAGTGGAGAACGAATCTGCGTTGAAGATAATATATTTAGAGTTATAGTTCCATTATGCGTTGGACCGATGAAAAAATTGAGAAGAAGCTAAGAAATCAGACAGTACCTGGAATTATGTTCTGACTAGTAAATTGTTAATTGAGTAACATCTTGAACCTCAGCAGTCACACAAAAAATTATGTAATTTACGAAATACTATAATATTAGTGCTAGTTACATCTCACTAGTGTTTGTTATAAGCCAAAATGCATCAGGTCATTTTCATACGTTTCAACACTTTGACCGCCACAGTGAAAAATACCGTACGTAGTCAGACATGCCGTTAAATGTCGAATTAACTCTTCTTCTCCAGTTAACGCGTTACTTTACATTATAAACAACAGCAAGATCCTTCCCAATTATCGTAAGTACCGTCAATAATCAATTACAACAAAAATTGCCGCGCGTTAGGAAGAATCTGCATACTTACGTGACTTTCTGAACGTTTTAAAGTGTCCAATCGAATTTTCCCGCAAAATTCACCAGTTCGCTCTACCGCCCCGCCGATAGCGTCACGTCGACGATCCCGGGTCCCGTAATTCGCCCGACGACGGTAATTACCGTGAAGTTCCCCAAGCAAGGAGGGACGATAATGAGCCACCGCTCCGCCAGAAAACTTCCGCAGCTCGGTCGAACGACTCCCGAAGACGATTAAGAAATTCGACGCAGACGACCGTGATCTCTGGCTTTCGACGGAAATCCACTCGACGTCCCTCCTGGGTTCGGCGAACCAGGAATCTTTGCTTCGATATTCTCGGTTGTGTGTTTGCCCGCGACAAACATGTACGTCGGGAGACGTCTGCATGCGAAATCACGGAGGAAGAAGAAGCGCGTACGAGATAGGGAGACTGGCGTCGCGTTTGGGAAAATTCCTTCGTGAGGAATAGAGTGGCTCGTAGAGGGAATGAATTTCCACACGAAAAGGATCCCTTTGATGTTCGTATTGTTTATCCACAGTATGATTCGTCAAGACAATCACTTCGTCGACTGATCGCGAACACTGGAATTCATTACGAATAATTTATAGGCTTTTGTGTACCTATGTGAATCGCGTTGCCAAATGTGTTGCTTCGTTAACGCCGGTGATATCGTCGTCAATTACGAAAAATGTGGACGAAACTCGGGGGAAAAATGGGATACATGCGTACGAGGATATATCGCTGACTGATTAAATGCGATACCATGGACGAAGCCAGTGTTTCCATTCCGCGAGCGGAAATATTGCCGCAAATTGCGCGATCTCGTACTTGGTCGATGCGCAGCGGTAACGCTGATACTGGTTGCTACCAACGCGCCGCGTTTACGCGGATACGAATATTGTTTCAGCGAATACGGGAATACTTTTTGTTCGTTATCTGGTATTACATCCGGGTACTTAACAAAACGTTCCCCGCTTTTAACGTGCGACGCGCGTGGTTCCACTTCAAATGTGATGAACGTGAAATAAAATATTTCTCGTGTGCAATTTAATATCGGATTGTTTTAGTAAATTTTCGGTACGAATTTTTTCCTCTGGATACACCGTGGAAAAAATTTCGATCGTTTCGACATACAATTGAGAAAAAACAATTAAGAAATTTACCACATAATTCTCGATAGATTCTATAATTATATTAATACGGACTTTCAACATTTGCAGAGAAATTAGCGAATGAACTCTAAAGGACTAAGAATACTGATTCAGTTTCTGAAACAAACAATCACGACAGAGGTTCCTAATGGAGATGAGAATTATCGCTAGTTCGGTAGTTAATTTAAGAAAATTTAGATATATGAGACTATGAAATTTCGTCGATCCAACGGCGGATAGTGTATCCAATTTCGCAAAGAAGGACGAAAGGTGTATAGAATGCATTTTCATGCATGCAGCGACAGAGTGTCATGCTTTCACGCCCGTTTCCAGGGAAAGCTGAAAGCTGACGGAGCCTAGATTATTTTCATAACGTCGCAAAACGTCTACGCTGACGCTTATAAAGCTCTCACACGACGCGGAAAATAACATGTAACCGAAATTAATTTTCTCCCCGACTGGATGGAAACCGCTCCCTCTTCCCTGGATATTCAATCGTCCTCTCGATGACAATCCCCCCCGGTTTCGCGGCTTTCCAACCTGGGACGCGCGTACATTACACTGATTAAGAACAGAGTGGTCTGAAATTCACTAAAATATTTCCCCCTTTCTGTGTCACTCGGATAAATCTCGACGATACTTTCATCTGATGTTACAATCGAATTCTCGTTTAAACTATATTATAGGCTCTAATATCTACCTATAGTTTTTGTTCGATAATTCTACAAAATTCGCCATTCATACGAAGTGATTTCAACTTGACGCATAATTTACACCCCTTTCCTCGACGATCGTCGAGAAAAAAGTGGCGACCCGCGAAAATATGTAATATCCCGTCGCGACGCTCCGGAATGACCGACTCTGAGGAGAGAAAGAGCGACTCTTTCTTGAAATTCTTGTTTTCTTCTCTGTTCAGGCGGAACCAGCGTTGATCTACGACAGCGTGCAAGTGTTCGCTGTTGGATTAAGGACCCTGGAACAGTCGCATGCGTTAAGGCCCGCGAACATCTCCTGCGAGCTCGAGCACCCTTGGGACGGCGGGCTGTCTCTCATCAACTACATAAACTCGGTAAGTTTTCCCGAGTTTTGTGCACACCAGTGCCGTTTCGCAGAATCTTGCCGCCCGAAATTCTACGGAAGTCGCATGATTCGTGGTTTCTTCAGTTGCGTGAAGTCCAGTTTCCTCTACGAGCGCGTAGATGTTTTGAATTTTAATATATGATAATGTAAGAATTTTCGGCGGGTTTCTTAAGAAGTATAGAATAGAAATAATCATTTTTTTAAAGCAATAACTATAGATTGAAGAATTACGAAATTGTTGCAGATAGAAATACGAAGGACATTTGTGGTGGTGGAGAACATTTTTAGACGTTTCGGAATATATTCGAGGGTATTATTGTAGATCTAAAAATGTTAATTAATTTTTTTCAAACTGCAAGAACATACATATATATATATATATATATAGATTTAGGTACAATGTAATATTTTACTGGTTCTGAAATAATCGTTTCCGATTGCAATCATGTGGAAGTTCTCGGACAATTTCGCGACCACGTTGTTATTTCAAATAAGATTCTGTTCTCGGATACTTGCAAGATTAATGTCGCGAGGTACGAAAGTTATTCCGTAATATATTCAGAAATACTCGAATAGAAACTCACAGACGACTCCTCCAAACGGAATTTAATATTTCTCGATGCGGAATCGTCTTTGAATGTACTGGGTACAGTGTTTTACGAGCGCGAATAATGGAAGAGAGTGGAAGCTCGCGGAGGACAGATCTTCTTCGTGTTTACAATAATCCAGTTTCTTACGGCCTCGCTGTGAATCGCAGAATGCAAACGACTATCGCCGAGTATCAGTAATTCCAAATCACTTCACACCCTCGTTTCGAATTCTTTCGCCAGACAGATTGAACGAATAACAATTTTCTAAGCACACAATACCATAAATTAATCCAAACCATTAAAACTAATTCCCCAACACCAGAAATTCAACAAATATTTTGCTTCCCAATAGATTCTACTTCGTTTGTTCAAAGGTTTCACCAAACGCAATGTCATAAATAATTTGAAACATTAAATCTGACTCTCCAACAGCAGAAATTCAAACCGATATTTTGCATCCCTAATAGATTAGTTTGCTCAAAGGTTCCACCAAAAAATCTGACGCAATTAATGAAAATTTAAAATATCCTCGAACATTTTAATAATATACCTCCGGAGGCGAGTCGCTGAAAATTACGTCCAAAAAGCCTTTGAACGAGCATTTAAATGCACATCGATCGGAATTAACGCGACACGATCCATGCCAGTTTTCAGAAAGATACGATAGTCGCTCGATTTCGATAATGGACAATCTCGTTAATATCAAAAGCAACTGAATCAAACAGCTATAATTGCGAGGCGGCGCCTAATTGCAGGGGTTTCGTCGTTAACAGAATAATCGGTTTACGCAATAACACGGCTAATAAACGGATAACTGATTTTATTTTCCCCCCCGTTGTACACCGCGGCCGCGAATTGTTCGCGGATCGACGCGTCCGCCAAGCCACCCCTTCCACGTGCATTTCGCTAATGTCAACGAATTTCGATCCTGGCCTCCATTTCCAGCCTCTGAAATTTGGACATATCGAAGCGTATAATGCAGCAATATTCGACGGGGTTTTGTGCCACGGGCGTCGACAGCGCTGAAAGCCAGTTTCTATAAATTGCCATCAACATTTTACAAACACGCCATACCCGCCCGGACCACAGGGACTCGGATAAATTGTTTAATAGAATAATGCACGGCTTCGAAAGCTGCCATCACCACCGACCACAAATTTTTTCGTCGATCTTGCGCATTCCCTCTTGTTCCGTTCGAGTGTGACACTGGTTTCCCGCGATAACGTAACTGTTACCGTGGAAATGTAAATACGTACTCTGTTATTTAGTGTTGTATTATAGTCTGTCTGATAGAATTGATACTTAGTGCTTCTATAATTGACACACAGATCAAAGGGAAAATACATAGTTCCCAGTGAGAAATTAAAGGGGTAATTTTTCTTTGGAGACAAGAGCTTATTTATAGATTGTGCACATTTACTACTGGTGTAGAATACACGGGCGAAATATTACTTCTTATGTCAAAGGTGAAAAGATTAGTGCTCGACACAAAAGTGCTAAAATTAGCCTATTAAGGACTCGCTTTGCTGTCCAATTATTTCTCTAACACTTCTACTACTGTTGAACTTCGTTTATTGATTCTATATAAGTTCCAATGAACTTCCTATACAATTCGAATAAAGTTCACTGGGTCGTTTACAAGCACTGCCCAGGAGGAATAAACAGAACAATAAGGCACAATCAAAGACGATTGAACGTTTCGCCTCCGACTTCGCGATTACCTGTCCGTTATTTAATTAGACCGTGGTTTGCGCTCCATGTCGCGAATTAATTCCGAATTCGAAACTTCTTGCAATTACACCTAAGGCAACGCTCGATAATTCCCCAGGCAAACCGACCCAAGTTCGTTCGTGAAATGGACACGGTCTCAGATCGGTGTCCGAAGATCTCCGCAAGCGTGTACCCCCTCGAGAGAGAACACACTTATGGGTATGCCATTAATTTAATAGCTGGTCGGCTAAATTCCAATATCGGCGGTTCCCTAATAGTCTCCAGAAATTCGCACGGTCCTCCAGCCCCGTCGGATTCCGGGATGACAAAGTGCATACTTCTGGCGCGTCGTTGAATACCGAAATTCGATTTACGCGTTACACGCCACTCCGACGTTCAAAGTAACTAGTAAACAGTCCGAAGTATTTTGAGCATAGAACTCTATATTATACATTGCATAGCATCACTATAAAACCACCCGAAAATTTTCAAACCTTATTGTATTATAATTAAATTAAAATCGAACCAAGTATTCCATGTCCGAAATCATATTTGGAAATAATGTTTCTCCAGAAAAGGATAGATTATATCCTATATCAAGAGTCCACTATCGATTCCTTCAACCAAAACGAGTACTCCGAGAAGCTGGTGGACTATTACAGTACGATCTACTAATTTTCTACGACACCGTTCAAAGTCGGCATCAGAGGGTCGCGTTTACAAGGGATCATACGACTCGGCGTTACGAGCCGCGGTTCCGCGCATCGCGGTGGATTTGTAACAATTTCAAACGTCGTTGGTGTTTACGGTTTAACACCGGTAACGAGCCGTCGTGTTCATAAACGCGTCCTTTTTCCCCCTCTCTTCGAAATCGTGCCGCGATAACGTTCCTCCACCGGCCGTAAAACTACTTGGCCGTGGTCCAGACGCGTTTATCGCCGGATTAGCTATTCCGCGTTGCTTTGTCCGTACGCTTTTTCCGAGCATCTTTCCGCCCCCTCTCCGAATTCTGGCACGCGCCCCGCCACCCTGTTTATCCACCGTTGGCACCGACCAGGAGGAGGGACACGGCTTCTTTCCACAATTTCGGGACGCGGGAAATGGGTCGTTAGGGTTTTACGGGACACCTTTGTCCGTACGCTTTTTCCGAGCATCTTTCCGCCCCCTCTCCGAATTCTGGCACGCGCCCCGCCTCCCCTGTTTATCCACCGTTGGCACCGACCAGGAGGAGGGACACGGCTTCTTTCCACAATTTCGAGACGCGGGAAATGGGTCGTTAGAGTTTTACGGGACACGTAAATCCGCGATAATTGCCGTCGATAATTTTTTAAGGCTCGTACCACATCGAAATTCCCCGTCCACGGTGTACCGCTTCTGTCGAACATGGTCGTGTTCGTGGTAGAGACACCTCCTAGGCGATTTAGCCCACGATCCTGCTTGTCGAAACGGTTGCGTTGAATAGAGGCTTTGTTGAACCAGACACGATCGTGTACATTGCCTCTTCGAGGGATCAGACACGAATTCATTTGTAAGTATCAGTTGTGCACATACTTTTTACATAATGGGAAACTAGAATTAAGTGACTAAATGATTCACTGATTCCAGAATAGAATGTAATTTTGATTAACCTTTATCGGGATAGAATGGAGATCATCAGAGGCTCTCAGTACAAACTAGCTGAAATGAATAATTCTATAGTATTTTATCGGACCAGCGAGCGTTAAAATTGTACACGGTGCTCTTTTATCACGGTGGTCAGTACGCGTTATCTTCGACAAACCGTCATCGTCGCTGGCGGAACGCGCAATGTTTTGGATGAACGGTTACTGAAATTGCTGCCTGTCATGCCCCTCCCACGTTTTCTGTCCCATCACGGGTATATACTTCGCCCTTTGCGCCCCACATTCGCTCCTCTTTTTTCTTTTTTTTCCTTTTTAATCCACTCGTCCTGTTACTCTGTTCTACTTGTTTCACCTTCGTTTATGGATATTCTCTGATGTTTTGCTTCATTACCTTCGCATTCAACCGTAATTCGTGTCTATCTATCGCCCAATTAGTAACATTTTTATGAGGCTGACGAAATATTTCGACCATGCCAGTGGTGGAGTAAATGTTCATGAAAGTGTCCTACTTTTTCAACTGTTAAGTACGGAGATGGAAAAACGAATGTAAAATTATTTTTCAATTGGATCTTTTTGTGATTCGAAAATATGTTAAAGTATCTAACGAAGATATTACTTGGACGTGGAATAGATAAAAGTGACGAACATTTAAATCATTAGATCTTAAAAGAACTGCTTCTGAACTTACATTACCGTTCGAATACACTTTCTTTAAACAATGATTCGTTCAACGCGACGAACTTCGAAACAGAGAAACTACAAAGATTTCCTTCGAGTCCCACAGTTTACATACTAGAAAAATCTATCCAAAGATATCAGCCAAGTTTCCACGGAGAGCAATTTTCCAAAAAGTGATATCTCACTACATCCAGAATCCCTCTCGCCAGAGTTGATGCGGGAAGTCGTGGCTGGATTGCCGACGGTCTAACTAAGTTTCAGCTCCCTAATGGGGCATTTCGGCGCGATCCTAAATCCTGAATCGCGATATTACGCTTCTTCCACGCGGCTTAATTGAACCGAACGAGAAGTAATTGCCGCGAACAACCACCGGCTATGGGGATCGCGAT